TAATTATTAGGCTCCTCTCCTGTGGAACCAACTACCAGTTTTAGTCCGTGAGGCAGACACCCTGTCTACTTTTAAGGGAAGGCTAGGCTTTAAACTTTCTTTTTTGATAAAACTTACAGTATAGTCGAGTGGCTCAGGTTATCCTGAGCTATCTCTATCATTATGTTGCTAAAGGCTTAGACTTCTGGAGGATATAGGGACCCCTTTTTTCACCATTCTGCTTCATTCTATCTCTATTCTCCCACACTGCAGAATCTGTTATTTCAATCTCTACCGTTATGCTCTCTCTGATTTTTCTCATAGTAGCTTCACCTCGTCTGTTCCTGTTTGGCTGTGACACCATCCTGGAGAAATATCACCGGTGTTGCTGCCATCAACACCTTTGTTTATAGATGTTGGAGATTGGCCTGTTTTTTTCAGTGTAGTCCTGTGACATGGGAGCTGATTCGGAGCTTGTCTGGTCATCGGAACTTGTCTGCCTGGCTGAGTGTTTCCTGGTTGGGCCGCCTGTGGAGCTGGTTGACAGTTTCCTTTTGTATCGCTGTTTCTTTCTGTATCTCTGCTTCTTTCTCCTTGAAACCCAGTCGGCCTCAGCAGATGGCCGCTCACACTGAGCCTGGTTCTGCTGGAGGTTTCTTCCGGCCAAAAAGGAGTTTTTCCTCTCCACTGTCCCTACAATCATGCTTAGTGTGAGGGATTACCTTCATATCAATGAGTCAATGCAATCAACTGGTTTTCCTTTGATAGAAACCTTTGAATTAATTTGACTGTATGATCTGGTGAGCTGTAAAGTGCCTTAAGATGACATGGGTTGTGAATTGGTGCTATGTAAATAAACTAAATTGAATTGATTTAGTAACTGCCTTTATGTGCCTCTGAATGTTCAGGTTTGAGTCCATCATGACTGTTAGGTTCAAAAATGTAGGTTCGGAAAAGAAGGACTGAGTTCACACAGAAATGGATTCTCAACAGCTTCTGCAGAAGGGGAAAGAGCTGCAACCCACCTTTCCAACTCTCTCTCCCTCTGACCTCCTCTGCAAAGCGTTTTTATCAACAGAACATAACACATGGTTACAAAACAGAGTATTGTTCTGAAAGGATAATTGATCAGGTCATAAGACAGGATGCTCCACTGACTGAATCACAAGACAGAGAGAGTGGTCCTCCCGACTGGATCACAAGACAGAGCGGTCTTCTGACTGAATCATAAGACAGAGTGAAGCATCTCATTTCTCCAATGTTTCATATGTACATACATTAATTTTATAATAATCATTGAATAAACCTAACAATGACACCAAGATTTTGGCCATAATTACTTGTTTCTAGCTGTAGTAGCTGAAGCTGTGAGCTAACTCTGGATCTCTCCTCTGTTGATCTAAAGATTATCACCTCAGTTTTATTTTTATTCAGTTGTAAAAAGTATGGTGCGTCCACATATTGATCTGTTCTAAGCATCTAGCCAGCACTTTGATGGGTTCATAGTCACCTGGTGAAATTGTGACATAAAGCTGTGTCTTGTCTGCATTGTTATGGTATCTAATCTGGTTGTTTACTATAATGTGAGCTAAGGGGAGCATGTAGCTGTTGAATAGGAGGTGACCCAGCATGGAACCTTGAGGAACACCGCATGTAAGTCTATTTTCTTCAGGTATTATTTAAACACTGAGGTCCAATAACACCAGCACTGTGGTTCCTTAAAATAATTTAAACTGAAACCAGTAATGAAGACAGAAAACAAAAGAGCTGGCTGAAGTGCAGGAAGTAGTGGATTTGGGCGCTATATGAACAAAAAAAATTGAATATCTAAATAGGCTTTAAACTGTTATTGCTGCCTAAGGAATATCAACAAATATTAAACTTAGGCTGTGAATGCTTATGGTGGATTTTGCAGCAATTTATTTTTCACACTTTGTAAAACTTTCTGTTTTTGAATGGAATTGAATTATTGAGAAACACTAATTTAATACAATTTGAAATGAAAGTAAAACTTTAATCGGAAAAAGTGTAGCTTTATGAATATTCTCCTGTGGCCTTTGTGAAAATCCAAAAGAAATGTCCTTAGGATATGTTCTTCACACATAATTCACACAGACAATCATTCTCAGCTCTTTAAGAACTATAGAGTAAGTGAATTTCTGTCCAATTTGATGTTTATTTAAGACTTTACAGTAAATCAAAATTTGCTCATTACAAAAATAGAATCTGGTTGTTCTCGTAATCCATCATCATAGAAACATCCATATGATGTACAGTACTTTCATTGTACAGCATTATACTGGTTATGTTTGAGACCCAACGTGGTAGACTGTAGCACCTTTGAATTTGATACTATTCAGATCATTATTGGGGTAAACAAGAACATATCTGAATAAGCATAAAACATGCAAACAGAAAAGGAAACAAAAAAACAATTGGGCTCAGAAGTTTGCATAAAAACGATGAAACCCTTATAATTCCGTTAATATAAAAACTTTAATATTTTCAAAATCAAAAGCAGTAGGTGACAAGATTTTTAAAGAATATCTTGTTTTATTGTACAAGACAGAATTACATGTGGAAATAAATAGAAGATTTTTTTTTACATAATGGTTCAGTGACTGTCAGGGAGAAGGACAAAACAAAATGGAATAGTGATTCTGGTGAGCTGCAAAGAAAGTCTAAGGGAGGAGGAAGAAGAGGGATTTACATGAACAGATGACTTCATGATAAGAACTTATTACAAAAGTGGATGATTCAGTAGAGTCATCGATGCGATGATAATGTTGACTTGAAATGGCATTGGTCAGACTTAAAGTTTAAATTACAACTAAGTAATTTAATAATCGTCATCATCATCATCGTCGTCGTCATCATCATCGTCATCATCATCGTCGTCGTCATCATCGTCGTCATCGTCATCGTCGTCATCATCGTCGTCATCATCGTCGTCGTCATCGTCGTCATCATCATCATCATCGTCGTCGTCATCGTCGTCGTCATCGTCGTCATCGTCGTCATCTTCATCATCGTCATCATCATCATCATCGTCATCATCATCGTCATCATCGTCGTCGTCGTCATCGTCGTCGTCATCGTCGTCGTCATCGTCATCATCGTCATCATCATCATCATCAGGATCGATATGTCCCGACAGTACATCTTCAATCCAGTCTTCCAGCTCATCCACAGTCGGTAAGTCCTCCCCATCATCCATGTCCATCCATACGCTGTCAGCCTGCACAGCAACAACGGCATTTAAAAACTCTTTCAAATTAAGTAGAATTGTGTTTTAAGTTTNAAAAAAATTTTTGGTGAGATTGATGGGATTTGAAGTACCTCCGGTGAGATTGATGGACGTGAGCCTAGTGCCTCATGCATATCTGCAAAGTAGAGCCATGTGCTTTCCGTCTCCTCTCCCCTATCGATGCCAGACCCTGTGGGCGCCTTATTCAGTTCCATAGGATGAATACAGTTGTATTAACTGTTACCCAGGAAAATTTGTTTCAGAACAATGATTTTGACCACCTTATATTTCTTTATCAGGTTCTCCCACTTTTTAAAGGCTTGTTTTGGGGTTACCTCCCCCTCAAGCCCCATCTCCTGGATCAAAGCCCTAAATAAAACATTGAAAAGGGGAATGGCGAAATGTTTGCTTAAGCAATAGCATTCAGCTCACATGGCCATTTAAAGTTGTTCGTTTTTACACACAGATTTGGATTCGACACACAGACATGGGAACAAAATTGGAATAAAGGTTCCTAATCCAAAGGTTGTTTGGCGGCATTTCGCCTCTTTGTGAACTTCCCCTCGTGGTCATTTTGGAGCCTCACCAGCCATTTGGTTTGTTCAACCTTCCCTTCATCATTCAATATTTAGGCAATCAATTACAGGGGATGTGATACTCAGAATGAGGCATTTTAGTGATTCAACAAATTCGTTGTTTTCTAACTTGTGATTTTCTGTCATTGCGACACAAATGCAGACCGCTGTTACACCTGCTGCTGAATTTCAGCGAGCCTGCACTGATGCAGACTCGCTGTTTAAGGGCTGTATGGTCCCCTCTCCCTACCCCCTCCACGGGAGTGTTTATGGGCCAGTTTGGGATTCAGCCTCCATGGTTGGTTCTAGGCCTGACCTAGAAGACCTGAGTGGTCTGGGAGGTTGATACACTGACAACAAATCTGTCACATATTCAGATGTTGATCCATTCAGTGATTTATAGACAAAATTTGTAGACTTTTAAAGTCTATTCTTTGAGCTACAGGGAGCCAACGTTAGGACTTCAGTACCGGACTGATGTGCTCTACTTTCTTAGTTCCAGTGAGAAAACTGGCAGCAGAGTTTTGGATCAGTTGCAGCTGTTTGATGGACTTTTTAGGCAAACCTATGAAGACACTGTTGCAGTAATAAATTCTACTAAAGATGAATGCATTAATGAGTTTTTCATGGTTAGACATTAGTCCTTTAATCCTGGAAATGTTCTTCGGGTGATAAACGGTTAATTATTAGGCTCCTCTCCTGTGGAACCAACTACCAGTTTTAGTCTGTGAGGCAGACACCCTGTCTATTTTTAAGGGAAGGCTAGGCTTTAAACTTTCCTTTTTGATAAAACTTACAGTATAGTCGAGTGGCTCAGGTTATCCTGAGCTATCTCTATCATTATGTTGCTAAAGGCTTAGACTTCTGGATGATATAGGGACCCCTTTTTCACCATTCTGCTTCATTCTACCTCTATTCTCCCACACTGCAGAATCTGTTATTTCAATCTCTACCGTTATGCTCTCTCTGATTTTTCTCATAGTAGCTTCACCCCGTCTGTTCCTGTTTGGCCTGTTTTTTTTCAGTGTAGTCCTGTTTCTCTGACTGTGACTGTCTGGATGTGCTCTCTTCATCCTCTGACATGGGAGCTGATTCGGAGCTTGTCTGGTCATCGGAGCTTGTCTGCCTGGCTGAGTGTTTCCTGGTTGGGAAAGGGATTCTCAACAGCTTCTGCAGAAGGGGAAAGAGCTGCAACCCACTTTCTGTTTTTGAATGGAATTGAATTATTGAGAAACACTAATTTAATACAATTTGAAATGAAAGTAAAACTTTAATCGGAAAAAGTGTAGCTTTATGAATATTCTCCTGTGGCCTTTGTGAAAATCCAAAAGAAATGTCCTTAGGATATGTTCTTCACACATAATTCACACAGACAATCATTCTCAGCTCTTTAAGAACTATAGAGTAAGTGAATTTCTGTCCAATTTGATGTTTATTTAAGACTTTACAGTAAATCAAAATTTGCTCATTACAAAAATAGAATCTGGTTGTTCTCGTAATCCATCATCATAGAAACATCCATATGATGTACAGTACTTTCATTGTACAGCATTATACTGGTTATGTTTGAGACCCAACGTGGTAGACTGTAGCACCTTTGAATTTGATACTATTCAGATCATTATTGGGGTAAACAAGAACATATCTGAATAAGCATAAAACATGCAAACAGAAAAGGAAACAAAAAAAGAATTGGGCTCAGAAGTTTGCATAAAAACGATGAAACCCTTATAATTCCGTTAATATAAAAACTTTAATATTTTCAAAATCAAAAGCAGTAGGTGACAAGATTTTTAAAGAATATCTTGTTTTATTGTACAAGACAGAATTACATGTGGAAATAAATAGAAGATTTTTTTTACATAATGGTTCAGTGACTGTCAGGGAGAAGGACAAAACAAAATGGAATAGTGATTCTGGTGAGCTGCAAAGAAAGTCTAAGGGAGGAGGAAGAAGAGGGATTTACATGAACAGATGACTTCATGATAAGAACTTATTACAAAAGTGGATGATTCAGTAGAGTCATCGATGCGATGATAATGTTGACTTGAAATGGCATTGGTCAGACTTAAAGTTTAAATTACAACTAAGTAATTTAATAATCGTCATCATCATCATCGTCGTCGTCATCATCATCGTCATCATCATCGTCGTCGTCATCATCGTCGTCATCGTCATCGTCGTCATCATCGTCGTCATCATCGTCGTCGTCATCGTCGTCGTCGTCGTCATCATCATCATCGTCGTCGTCATCGTCGTCATCGTCATCATCGTCATCATCATCATCATCGTCATCATCATCGTCATCATCGTCGTCGTCATCATCGTCGTCATCGTCGTCGTCATCGTCGTCGTCATCGTCGTCATCATCATCATCATCATCATCATCATCATCATCATCATCAGGATCGATATGTCCCGACAGTACATCTTCAATCCAGTCTTCCAGCTCATCCACAGTCGGTAAGTCCTCCCCATCATCCATGTCCATCCATACGCTGTCAGCCTGCACAGCAACAACGGCATTTAAAAACTCTTTCAAATTAAGTAGAATTGTGTTTTAAGTTTCATTGATTTGAACTCAACACAAATTATGTTTCTATCTTTTTAGGTCAACAAAACAAACATTGAGATCAGTATATATAACTTTTGTTTTCAGGTTTTAACGTCCTACAATTTTTAAGCCGAATGTTGATGTGATTCCATTTAACCAATGTCCATGTTCCTATTGTGAGTTACCTTGGTTCCAGGTATCAACTAATTCAATTAATTGGATCAGCTGTGATTTGCTATTCCATATTTGTGTCATCAAGAATGGCTTTAACTATGGGATTTTACACCAACTGATCAACAGGTGTTCTGTGTTTTCTATGACTCGTAATTAGCTGGAAATTAACCCAATGTTTCACTGAGCTGCCAAATTAATTGATGAGCCACATTGATATGACAGAGTTTGACATCTGTATACTATAGGCAAGGCATTAATTACAGATAATAAACTTGGTAGAAAATACACAACTCCCAAAAGATAAGACACACGGTACCATAAGAACTAGACTGCTCAAAAGTCTGGTTACCCTTGAAATAAGCTATTTTCTCAGAATACCAAAAAACAGTTTCTCTTCAGTTATACAGGGAGTGGGTGGCTCTCTAAAAGCACCCCATACATCCATACGCCCTACAAAAAAACCACATTTTTAGGTCTTCTCCAGAGCTACAAAGCACATATGAACTTATTGAATAAACTTAGCACCTGTTCTAGAGTAAAGATCTGTCAATCATGCTTGGCTGTTCCTTCATGTTACACTAAAAACTGTTGGGAACATCACAAGAAAAGACCTCAAAGCCATCTTAGGATGAAGCACAATTTTCTCATGGAGCTCTGTCAAACAGCTCCCTGGCTCATGGTGATTAAACGGCTTATTATGCTTGATGCACATACATTCTGTGCATAAAAAGAGCAGCCCTGTCACAGTGTCTGCAGCATTTATACTCTTTGCAGCTTTTCCTCCATTATGGCAAGCTCCATGGGGGATGTGGTGAGCTCATACAGCAAGCTGACAACACCATACAGGACAAGGAAGTTGAAAACACAGCCATTTACAAATTTGTCAAAGCCACTTCATGCCAACCAAGAGTGACAGTCATTCATGTCCAGGAATTATTTCCCGATCTGTTGATAGTGGTGATATTTACTGTATGAGCTAAATTACAGAATGTCTCTAGATGTTAGCATTTACAATTGCCTGCTAGTTGGAGCTGCTGCTTGCTTGCCATGTTTTCCGTTCGGATATGTCTGTGTAGTTAGACATGTTCCTTGGTGCACAGTGCGGAAATACTGTCTGCAAGGTACAGCACAGAGAGGCATGGAAGCCCAAAATTAAGGGATTTGGTCATGCAGACCATGCGGACGCATCAAGCATAAATCAAGCTTAACTCAGCTTGCTCTTGTCCTCAAATTTTAGAGGGCCATTCTCCTGCAACTTTTAAATGCATCATTCGCCCTTACACACCTTAACCAAATTGCTAACCTAATTCACTAGAACATAGGCAACCTTTAAAGAGCTCTGCTAATGAGCAAATATTTTAGTCAGTTGAGTCGAAGCAGAAATAGATTTAGATTTTTTACGAAAAGGACTCTAGAGGACTGAAGAGTTAGATTACTTTCTTAGACTCTTCCTTTTAAGCAGAAAACATGGAGGAGCTTTTAAAGTGATTATTTCACGCATCCTTAGTCCAGGTATGCAATCACATCCTCTTACTAAACATATTTTTTGATGGACCTTCTTTTTTTATTTATTTTTTTCATTATTACATGGTTTGCTGCAGCTTACTCAAGCCCAACCAACATATTTGTGTATAGTTTCTCTAAATTAAATTTTAGTTAGAGTTTTCCCCTCTGAAACCACAGAAAATGCAGTGCGTCTGGCTATGCAGTACTCATCTGCTGTTGTCAAGGATTCCCTAGACATATCCCAGCCAGAGGGGTGTCACTTTCAGTTTCAAAACTTTAGCCACTGCTTAAGCACAGCAACAGTTCCTCTAGCATCAGTCCCAAAAGTAACCAGTGGTAGTGGCAGCCTAGTGGTTAGGGCATAGAGCTTGGAATTCTGAGGTTCTGAGTTTGAGCCCCACTCCACAGACCGCCACACTTGGTCTCTGAGCAAGACCCCACACTGCTCCCCGGGCGCCCCAACGATGGCAGCCCACTGCTCTCCAAGGGAATAGGTTAAATACAGAGGTAAACTTCTCCAATCTGAGATCAATGAGGTTCAATTATTATTATTATAACCAGTGAACTTTAGGCCACAGCTTCTTGCTAGACACACCTCAATGAGTATTCTACAGATGGCCCATTCAGATTCTACGATCTCAATCTCTATCTGAACAAAAAATAGGTTATCTGAAAAGGTGCGTTAATCCACTCCTTACTGAGCAGCTACGTTTACCAAGTCTCTGTAAGCCAGGCATACACTGGGCAATCGTTGCATGCAGCTACAGCTCACTGTATGACGAAACCTCAGCGTTTCGATGTACAGTGTGCATTCACAGCTCACGATGCATGTTCTCACACTGTACAGCAGGACGCTCTGATGCGATCTACCTGCTCACACTGTACGACTAAAGATTACATCGGACTCAGCTCCGCAGTAAGATGGCAATACTCAGACTTGTCTATCCAGGAGCCAAACCAGTAGAGGAGGAATATGAAGCTCATCAGAGTGAAATGTGCTGCCTTGGCAATTTGTGCAATTTTGTGTGCTGAAAGCCCTAAGAAGAAAAGGTGATGACGTATTTACACAAAGACTTGGCTGAGCAAATGTGGCTACTACAGTCTGTCAATTTTACAGAAAGAACTCCATTTCACCCGCACCCTTGCCATGCTTCTGTGTTTTCGTCTGAGAGGAAGAAGAAGAATAGGAATCCTTGTTTGCGCATGCCCTCTGAGTGATTTGCCGACGACAGTTAACTGAAAATCAAACATGTTTGACTTTCACCTCATGATTCCTGATCAGGAGGTGGTCATGAGAGGCTGATCGCCCCTCGCTACCCCCTTTACACTACAAGATGCACGATCAGGCTGGAAGTCAGGCCGATCAAAAAAGTTCTCGCATGACTGGAAGGTCGGCCCGAAAAGGGCAAATAAATCGCACAGTGTATGCCTGGATTAAGAGCTGCCCTGCCGCACAATCAAACTCACTCCTAGGGGCTGATCATTCTTCAGCTCTACCACATCCTCTTACCAAGAGTTACAGACATAGAACTGGAGGTCTGATTCTGAGAAAACAAAACTAATCACTGACTTTTGGTTCAAGATGGCCTGGTACCAAGTACACTTATAGACCACCTTGTGCCTGAATGTTTTATGGACTGCTCATACCTAGCTCCCACATCTTACTTCAAACACAACACAGGCCATATCCCTTAATCACTCTAATGAAGGGGTGTCAAAGTGCTTCCAGAAAGGGCTGTGTGGCTGCAGGTTTTCTTTCCAACCAAAATTTAGCACACCAGATTGGACTCCCTGGATGAGATGACTTGAGTCTGGTGTGCTATTGCTTGGTTGGAAAGAAACCCTGCAGCAACACGGCCCTTTCAGGAACCACTTTGACACCTCTGCTCTAATGCAATAGATCTAAGTCTCACCCACATTAAGGTTCCCCAGGAGCAAATGGTAATTCTCAAATGTGACACCTTCAAGCACAAGTGAAGGCCAGAGCAGTGCTCCTCAGCACAGTTGAACAGACAAAAGCTATAACCCTCCACCTCACAACTCTATGCAATTAAAAATGGTCTCTCTTACTCACCAAGGAGAATATCAGCATAGTGATCAACATAGTGACCTGTGATTATCCCCAAACTAAACTAATGCTGGATCACACAAGTTATAAATTTCACTAAGAGAGAACAAACTGAAGCCTCTTTGTACAAATGACTGGCTCCATATCATAGGCAATAAGAGAAGATCAAAATTGTAAAGGCACAAAATTATGAAGGGAGAACATAACAGCCATTTCTATTTATATTAAATTAGGCTAAATTCAAAACCATTTAGATAGATTTTCTTGTTCATGATTAGCTTAAACTGCTGCCTTCAGAGAGTATTAGTAAGCTGTATTAGGAAGGATCAATCCACTTTAATAAAAATGTAACATCCCTGTGAATTTAAGTTAAATGTTCTGTACTAAAATGTAAAATTGATTAACCTTAATACTTATGAATAGACAAGATATGCAAATGTACAATGATTTCCTAATCACAAATACTTACATCATCAGCATCAACGACACCAATCTGTGGGTGGGACAGGTCAATTCCGAAGGTCTTTTCCCAGTGTGGCAAAAGCTTTAGGTGAAATAAAAAAAAAAACTCTCATGAAACAACTGTTACCACCTGCAGCACAAGTCAGCATTTTTATCATTAAATCTTAGTTTTAATTTGTTTCTAGAGAAACTTTTTTTCTTTTTTTTACCAGAGGGAAGTCATCAGGGTCAATCCAGACAATACTGAGGTTAGGGTTGTCTGTGTTATCCTCAGCAACTTGCTTCAGGATGTGCAAGAACTCAAAGCCATCTGTTTAGCAGAAGAGGAAAGGGCAGGTAAATCCTTGGAGATTGTTCTGTTTGCCTCTTTATGATAAACTCAGTAATATGTATTTCCTGAGTTACATTTTCTCTCTATATTAGCGCGTCTGTTCTATTTAGGTTTTTTGTCCTTTACCGATATCTGACTCCTCTGCAAAAGCGACAATGTGTTCTCCATCAACATCATCGTCCTGTGAACAAAATATATATGCTTTTTTTAATGATGTGTATTAAAAGACTTAAAATTGAAATACTATCAGGAAGTTAAAAAAATATGTTCAGTGTTTAAATTAGCTGAACGTATCTCCATAACAGAATAAGTGATTCAAACTACAACAAGGCTGGAAGTACAGAATAAAGGATCTTACCCAGATCTCGTACATGTTGCTGGGTTTCAGTTTCCTCAGTGTTGGTCTAAACAACCACAAATGTATTAAAATAAAAGCATTTTTAGTTAATTCAGGCCGTTACACTTCTCACTTATAAAATCTTGCATCATGCTGACAAGTAGGAGCTACCTGTCATTATCTTCGATGAATTTCACTAGTTCTTTCTCAGTGTAAGGTTTTCCAGGAATAACCACAGGGTCATCCACGAAGGGTTCATAGAAGTCCACTTCATTGAGCTTCAGCTCAAGGGCCTTAGCAACCTGTGACAAAATGAGGAATGTAATTCATTATTCAGCCGTAGGTGTATCATTGATGCCTCAGCCATAACATTACAGCCCCTACAGGAAAAGAAATACTGTATGTGACAGTAAAACTAAATGCAAAATTGACAAATGGTAACAGGATCAAGTGCTAAACATAAAAGTAGTAAATGCAGTCCTATTGGCAAGTAAGCACCTCACAATGTTGTTTATGGGTTCTTAAGAGTATTGCTTCATTAATTTTCCCTTATAAGCTCAATATACCATTATGAAAATGTTTACATCTTGACTTTGACTAGGCCCTTCCAGTATTTTAGATTTTTTCATGGTCAGTGACTTTTTTGTAATTTTCTTATGTACCTACTAAGAAGATAGCTCCACTTTACTTCTTTTTTATGCTTGCCAGAGTTTATAAATAATTAGCAACTATAGGTCTCTCCAATAATGGGCTTGACATATGGGGTGAGGTGTTTGCTGATATGCTCAAAGCCTGTAGTTCTGATTAATAACCAAACTTTTCAGCATTAATGGCATTTATTTGGTGGTCACTGGCTCATTCAGATGTAAATTTGCTCACCTTAGGATTAAAGGTGGCAAAAAACTGGATGTGAGGATGGAACTCTTCAGCGGCATCAGCATATGCTTCGAAATCTATGAAACAATTTTACAATTATTGGTCAATTTATTTCAGCAAGGTTAGCATAAATGCATAAAGACTAAAGAATATACACATCACTAATACTGATTGTGTGCATGTTTAAATTAAAGGAAGATTTTTGATAATATACCCGGCTTTATGATGTTAATCTCCTTTCTATCTACACAGTTGTTTGTTACAGATAATCATGCCATCACAATATTCTTACGTTCAGACTTGTGACTCTTAAAGTAGCCCACCAATTTGATGTCCTCTTCGATGTTTTCAAAGCCTTTCAGTTCCCTGCTGTTGTCAATAATTTCCACAGGGTCCTCGAGAAGCTTTGGGAGCAAAATAAAAGGGTATAGCAGTGAGAATCTGGTGAAACATTCACATAAGTAACAAAAATCTCAATGTCGTTAATACATGCGTTACAGTTTAACAATAATGTAGGATTGAAATTAAGTAGTTTAACCATGTTGGAAAAATGTTAGCTAGCAATGGCAATCAAGATTTAATAAAACCCTGCATACTGTAAGGCTTTCCAAGAATTCTTGACTTTTCTTTGCTGCAAGCCTAGCTCTGTTGGTTAAATTCATATAATTGATTCTAATATACATGTGTACTCTGTCTGAAAATCTGTACTAAAAGACATTTTGTTTTGTATACACTCTGTGTACCGGTATATAAAAAGATAAAAGTTGTCAAAGTCTAAGTCTCTGTAAAATTTTGTATTTCATTGTTGTATGGAAATTACTACAGGGACACTGTTTCATTGCTTAGCTGTCTCGTCACTGGGAATAAAAACTGACATAGCTATCAGTGCAATTAACTATGTATAATAGCTTTTTTTTTTTCCTAAGAAAACGTTCTCCTCTGGAACAGTGTTGTTGTGCTTTTTACCCTCAGTTTCAATGGGATCAGATGTCAGGTTTGACTATACTGGAGGTTTCTCACTGTTTAGATTTAGTATTTTCTTTTCACTGTCACCATGTGCTTGCTCAGGATGAGGAATAGCTGCAAAGTTAGTGCTCAGTACAACTGGTGGGTCTTACCTAGATTAACTGTTAGCAAATGACATGCATTGTAATATAACTTAATAAATTTACTGTGAATGGAAATGGACTATTGCTATAAAAAAAAAAAGTAAATGTGAAAAGCGTCTGGATTTTTCTGATTTCTGTTTCTAAATATTGATATTACTTCATGCTTAAATAAGACATGCTATATCCTCACGAACATCATAGATGAACTCCACAAGCGTGTCTGCCTCAAGTTCACCATCATACTCTATAACTTCATCGTCGGTGAAGATGAAGATGCTGTCGGACTCATCGAGTTCTGGGAAGAAAAAACGCTTTTGAGAGACTGATTTTAGAGAACATCAAGCTAAAAAAAAATATGCATGCCTTTTCACTTTATGACAGATCACAAAGATCAATGTATTTCATTGGGACTGACCCGCACTAAGAAACATATAACTATGAAATGGAAGGTCAGATATAAACCTTCTTCTTCAATAATATACTCTAAATAAAATTCTGTGTTATTAATTTCCTTCAGAAGAGCACTGCTTAGTAATTAGCGTCATCCTGTCTGCCCTTTCATCTCATTATAAATACAGCTCTTCTATGAAAGCCTCAGGAGTTTGCTAAAGATTATTAGTGAATAAACTACATTATGGAGACTGGAATGAAGCATACGGTTCAGGGACAAAGCTGTGGAGAAGTTTAAAAAAAGCGTAATAATAATACCTAAACCTTTAAAGCTGTCCTGACAAGGAAAGCAGCTGCAAGTCAAGTTGATAAGAGCCACACATTTGCCTTTTTTAAACTATGTAAAGACAAAGAAAACATAAGAATAAGGTGCTCTGGTCATATTAGGTCTAAAATGTAACTTTCTGGCTTACAAAGAAAATGCTATTTGAGAAGAATCAACACTGCATAACCCCCTCTAGCCAACTTCCACATGATAAAATGTGCTGGTGGCAGTATTATGATGTGGGGGTGGAAAATGGATGAAGCTATAAATAGCAAAATCCTGGTAGAAAGCCTCTTAGGGGCAGTTAAGCAGACATTGTTAAGTTAATGGTTTGCTTTCCTGAAGGAAAATGACCATGGACATTCAGCCAGAGCCACAGATGGATGGTTAAGGTAAAAGCGTAACCATTTGGTAGAATGTTTCTGTCAAAGTCTCGAAATGGAAATGGACGTTTATAGACTCCCTCCATACAATCTAGATTAAGTGAGTTTATTTTCTAAGTATTGGGGGAAAAAAATCTAGATGTGCAAAACTTAAATGGACATAATGCAAGAGACTTACAGTTTTAAATGCAGCAATAGGTGTATCTATAAAGCCTTAAATTAAAAGGGCTGATTACAAATGTAGTTTATTTACATGTCAACAGTTTTAAAAAACATCATTCATTTTCTTTCCCCTTCTAAAATAAGTGCAATGTAGTGTTAGTTTACCAAGTTCTAATAAAATACATTTATATTTGTGGTTTTATCATCACGAAAGCTCACAGGGGTGGGATAGTTTTGTGATGTTATATCAGAATTAGGTTATGATTTCTCCATCTTTTTACCATCTGTATTTGACTTTAATTACCTAGTTTCTTTGCAACCACTTTGTCGAGCTTTGCATCAATGAGTCCAACTCCAATATCCTCGTCATCAAATTCCTCCAGGACTTGTGCTGCACGCTGCCAAAACAAAACACAAAACACTGTTACCAGACCAGGTTTTTTCTATATGTAGTTAAAACATGAACGCATATTCACAAAAATTGTACTCAGGAGCCTCATGACCATAAAAGCCTGCTTTTCAGAGAGCTGCTCCTGCACTTTCTAAATTTGTATGAAACATGAACCTCTTGACTGACAGTTGATTCCACCAATGGGCCGTGGCCCTCTTGCATTGAGGAAGTGGTTTAATGTTGTCTGAGTGCATTTCGAGACTGAAAAGCACTTGCCTCCTTGCTTGCTTACTTGCTCATGTAGACGCATGTAAATGGTGTAAGAGATATTGAGCAGCTGCCTTTACAGTCATAAATAGCAGAGTAAACAGGCTGTCCTGCAGGTTGTTGTGCAGATGATCCCTTGCATTGCTTAGAGCTTAATTGGATTTGCAAAAATTAAAAGCGATAAATTGACATGTCTTTAGCACTTACTTTTTTGGAAATGACATGAACTGTCATTTGATGATGAGTTACCTGCTAGCTTCAAATTGATTGAATGTCATTCAATATTATTGTTCATTAGATAAAGGTAATTTGTCATGCAGCAATCCAAAAAGTGCACCGTAACCTTGGAAATGCTCTGCCGTTTGCGTCTAAATAACAATTACACCTTTGGAAGTCAAAATCATTATACGTTTGCAAAGAGAAACTCAACCCTCTTAACTCAAGTATCTCAGGTTAAATATAACCCAAGGAGCAACACCAACCCAAGGACTATTTTGGTGAGGCAGCAGTGATGTTCAGCATTCAGGGATCCGCTGACAAGTACAGTACTGTGAGTGTCAGTCTCAGCAGAGGGCTGAGGTGGCATCACTGGATCCAGTAGCCCCAGTGCAGGCTTGCAGCTCTGACCAGGCCAAAAACAACCCAACCCACCCCCACCTGCAATCCCAAACAGAGACACCAGAGCCTGTGGAAATGATGTGATATGTTAGAGGCAGATGCGCACTTCAATCTCCAGCTTTTTTTTGTGGTTTTAACAGTTTTACTTATATGTTACTGTCAATTTAATTTTCCAAACAATTGATTTAATTATTTATGTTTACGACATATATTTAACAGTCTATTTATGTTATGAAAAAGTTAAACGCGGATATTTCAGTTATATTTGTGTACTTTTAATGTTCAAAGACTTATGTTTCACTACGGTATTTCCTTTAAAAATTCATTATCATGGGCCAAAAGTGAAACCCTTTAAACTTCATTTTGGATCTTCATATTGGTTGTTGAATGTCCATAATAGGAGAGAGATAAGCTTCATTGCATATCTCTGTACCATGCAGTTAACCAGCACACAGCACATGGTGAATGCAACAATATACTGTGGCTAGAGATATCTTCATTCTATAAATCAGTTACATCCTTTCTTTTTTTCAAATGTAAAGCAATTGGTATTTTTTGTATGACTAAATGCATAAACACTGTTTGAGAATCATGTGATATTTAATGCATTATAAATACATATGTTAACTCAGAATTATCCTAGCTGTTGGACACCTTGAGGGCATATACTGGATGGTGATGTAATGAGGAGAAAACTGCTGAGTCTCCAGGCTTAAAGGCAGCTGAATGTTTGATTTCTATGTGCATGCAATGGATAACATACATGTTGAAAAAAAACGAAACAAAAAAAACAAAATATTTATTTTTCTCATGCATTTCAATTTTTTGAAAATCATTCATACATTCATAATTAGCTTTCTGAAACAATTACAATATTTTAATGTTAGCCTTTAAACCCAAAAATACAAAAAAACAGCAATTTTAGATCTACTCCTTTTTCAGCTCAACCTACCTCAAGGGCCAACTCCTCAGTCTCAAACTGTCTCTGGGCGACGCGGCTGGATCCGGGATGGTCGTGGTAGTACACTACCATAACGTCGTACTTCCTCATCAGGGTCTTGTAGTTCTTGGCGTTGAGGTTGTGTACGCGGTCCTTACCGTCATATTCAGGAAAGTCCAAGCTTTCCTTGGCCAGTGATTGCCCCCCAAATGACAGCAAGACTGCCACAAGCACCCACGTCCACTTCATGGCCTATCTTTGAAACAATTTCAATTTCCTCTACAGGTGAATGTACTACTGTATAACTTAGTGGGGTTAAAGAAAACCTTTTCTTGTAGAACCCTTTCCAATCCGCGTCACCCAGAAGAGAGCAGGACTAACTCCTGGATCCACCTTATTACAAACCCCACATGGGAAACTGGCAGTGAGGCCCTGGGCACTGGAGGGGCAGGGCTAAGTTTGACATAGGTGGGACAGTATCCGCCTATGTTGGGTGTAACTGAGTAGGGGTGAGGTGGTTGGTTGGGTGTCAACTTTGTGTGTAGGTGTCTTTAAGTCTTTGCTACATGTCTGCAAAACAGGGCAAGAGGGAGACAATGATGGCCCAACCAGTCAAACGCAAAAAAAAAGAAAGAATTGGAACTGAAAGGATGTCTTTGCTTTTCTCACCTTATGAAGAAGATAAATTATATGATAGATTTAGATCTGGCTGAAAATATAAGGCATCCTTCTCCCATATAAAGTGAAGGATGAAGTCTTGGATTCCAGCTAAAAATAATGGATGTAGGACAGAGAGGTACATATCAGGAGGGGCTGCAGCCGGTGTCTAATTTGCTGCTTCTGGCATTGGTGCAGTGTTAGAATGTGGAGCCGGGTCACTCAGGGACAGAAAGAGGGGAGAAGGGGGGTGCACCCTCTGAGGCGTTGGTGCAAAGGCATCACCTCGGCCTGTCCAAAGAAGTACAAGATGGATACGTGTCTGGTTCATTTTGCATTTTTGTCCCAAACAAAAGCATCCTGTCCAGCTATGCCTACAGACATAGGGGCCCCTGAAGACAACGGTGTCATGCAAAGGCATTCATCTTCCATGAACTTTTACACATATTCGTCCTACAGGCAAAACCTTGTTAAGTGTTTTCTGTTGGGCCAACACCCCTTTCAGAAAGTTTGACAGTCATATTTAGTTTGTTGCAATGCGTCTCTTGTGCCATAATAGGTTCCAAAGAAATAAAGGAACCTCACAGGGAAACAGGACAAGAATGATCTTCATGTAGTTAAATATTGTTAACAGTTTTCCTTGATAAGTTCATTTAACTTCTGGTCATAAACCAGATTATTGTGGTTAACTATCAGTCCTAAACTACAGATGGACCGTCCTTGACTATATCTCTACAGAAGACGCCAATTTATGAAACACAGGTGCTATTCACTTATTCAAAGTGGTATCAGAACATATATAGCGCGACATGATCGCAATGTAACCTAATGGTACCCAATGGCACAGCTGATGAGCTGATTAGACTTCTGCAACCGCACACATCAAATGTTGCTTGGGTCTGGTCACAAACCAGATTTACTGGTATCCTTCTGCACCGTCGGTCTGGAATTTCTAGGGAAACGTAGAAGTTTCCCGCCAAAGCGCAAGTGGGAGCCTATTCGAGAACTGACGAGAACTTCGGCGGACGGGTACGAGAACTTCTTTTTGGCATAAACCATCCAATTGTATCTCTGGTTGTTCCAAAAGAGTAAAAAAAAAAAAAAAACATCCCAGTCTCAAGACTAACAGGCTTCTTTTGTAAATGAGAACTCACGTTTTAGGGAAACTATCTGTGTAAATATAGGTTTTAATTAAAAAGAACAACAAAAACAAATACTTTGCTGCAACCAAAATGATTAATTTGTGTTTAGACATATTTTCATCAACTATGTCCAAAGAAATCCATCCCTACAGTAAAGATCCTGCTACTAGCACATTGCACACTAAAGGAGATGTGTACTAGGTTTTTTATTTTTCCTTCATACATATTATTTTCTACAATTTTCTCACCTTTCAGATGTTTCTCCTAACTTTATGTTCACTCTGCTTTTTCTCATCATTGTAGCTTCACCTGGCACCGTCTTGGAGGGATGCAGCTAGGCTGCTGCCATCAACATCTTCAATTACAGATAATAGAGTTGGGTCTATTTTTTAGTGTTTAGTTTTGTTTTTCTCCTAGACATAGTTATAGGCTTAACTTTTACTGTGACTCACTGTATGTTCTCTATTTCATCCCTTATGGCATAAAAAATGGCTTAGAGTTTGTCTGCTTAATTGTTTCTTTCCCAGGCACAGTCACCTGTGGAGCTAGTTTGCAATTACCTTTTCAAACAAAGAAAATATTGATTGATCCCTGCTTCAATGTCCCTTTTCTATGTCTCCTTCTCTTTCATTCAATGTGTGTAGGATGATGGGGGACATAGAGGCCACTTTCTGCCTCATTCTATTCTATTCTCCCATGCTGTAGTATTTGTTAAGTTTCACTCATAATTTTATGTTTTCGGCTGTGACACCATCCTAGATTGAAGTGTCAGATGTGCTGATGTTGGAGCTTGGCCTGTTTTTCAGTGTAGTCCTGTTTCTTTTGCAGTGACTAACTGTATGTGCACTTTTTGATCCTCTGACAAGAGAATCGGCTTGGAGCTCATCTGCCTGGCTGTGTGTTCCCTGGAAAGGGCCACCTGTGGAGCCAGTTGACAGCAACCTTTTGTGTCTGCTTCTATCTCATTGAACGCCAGTCGACCTTGAAAGAAGGCCGACTGGCACTGAGGCTGTTCTGTTGGATGTTTCTTTCTCTTAAAGGGGAGTTTTCCTCTCCACTGTCTCTACATGCATGCTCTGTGTTAGGGATTGGTGCAGAGTCAACAACCAAATGCAAGTGAAAATCATTGCAGCGAGCTCATCCAGAAGGAGCATGTCCTGCAAATCAGTGACTGGATGCATTCAGCTTGTTTTCCTTTAACCAATCTGACTGTATTATCTCTTTAAAGTGCCTTAAGAGGACATCTGCTGTGAACTAACGCTATATAAATACACATAAGTAAAACTGAGATGCATTTAGTTTGCTTGACTTCTGGCAGGTTTCTTTCCCTTTTGACATTTTTATTGACAGTCTTGCATAAAATCCAGATTTTGGGTAGTAGTTGTCCTGTTATCAGATTATCTCACCTAAGGTGCAGATCTCTCCTGCTCCTTCACAGCAACCATAGGACACTAAGAAATGCTGTGCTTGCCTGTCATGAATGAATAAATTGTAAAAAGGTGTAATTTTACTTACATTTCCTAGTAATGCATTTTTTGTGTCTATACAGAGAATTCAAAGTTTGAGGGATATAATTAGTTTCCAAAGCTGTGCTTGCTTGGTTTCATATTAAACACACAAATGCATTTTGTTCTTTTTTTCTGTAGTGAAACCGATGCCTGCTGTAGAAAAGCAACATGTTTGTGTTTCTGTTTGTGTGCTGACATGCTGGACCTGCAGCAATGATCCTTTTGATTTCTATATTCTCACTCAGTGCAGAAATTCAAGCCAAAATTCTTGGTTCTTGTGGTTACTGTAAACATCTAATAGAGTCCCATGAGTCAGAGGCTAAATGAGGTGGGAGATAGATTCGTGTCTCTTATTTACACCTCAGGTGTTGACAGATTTTAGATCAGTTATCTTTATACATTTTTTAATGGGCTTAAATGATATAAAATAAAAGTCAGTATGTGTGGCTGATAAACAGAATTTCACCATACTGTATATCACCATTTTCAATGTCGTTTTATATTTATGATGTATGGCAGTTACTTCAGCAGACCACTAGGAGGTGTTGTTTCACCTACAGTGATGTTAAACACCTGTTGCTATGACTCAGTAGCCATGGATGGCTTCTTAAAACTTGAAGAACATTCCAGAGATGCAAAGAGGATACTTTAAACATGTCACCCTCAAAGGTCAGCATGTTTTCAGATTTGGCCCTGAAACACAGACATATAGAATGAATAACGGTTGGACCCTCCTGGCTTTATACTGGAAACAGGTGTCAGAATCCAGAGTCCTGCTCTGCTCATCCAGCTTATAATGTAAATGATCACTCCTGATGTAACATTAATTATTTTTCTGTAATTAACCACAATTCAATTCAGATAAATGAACGTGCTACACTTGCAGAGAAAAACTAGAAGTGTTTTATGATAGACTGCCCCCTCTGTGTTTTTTGTTTTACCACTTATTCAAATTTATTTAATATTTTAAATACAAATATAATTCAATTCAGTATATTTATATAGCGCCAATTCACAACACGCGTCATCTCAAGGCACTTTGCAATTCACCAGATCATACAGTCAGGTTGATTCAAAGTTTTCTATCTAAGGAAAACCAGTTGTTTGCATCGACTCATTAACTTGAAGGCAATCCCTCACACTAAGCATGTAGCGACAGTGGAGAGGAAAAACTCCCTTTTAACAGTAAGAAACCTCCAGCAGAACCAGCCTTGGTGTGAGCGGCCATCTGCCGAGGCCCACTGGGGTTCAGGGAGACAGAAGCAGAGATACAGGCCTCAATGTTTCCCTTTTATTTGTGTCAAAGTGAAATGAACATGACTGACAGATGTCTCCACACTATCTAAGATATAGAATACATTTTATTACAGAATGAAGTTTTACATATAACCAGTTAAGAGAATTTCTTTCCCTCCTGCAAGAAACAAATTTGGGTTGGGTCACTGACTTGTGAAAACAACTAGTAAATGTATCATGTGATCACTTATCTTTTTTTTTTCTTCTTTATTGATAATAAAAGGGTTTACAAAGCAGAAAGATTAATAACACAAGTAAGTAACAGACAAGACAATAATGCCAGGGCATTATATAGCAAGCACAAGCAAATCTAAAAGCAAATAAATAAATAAATAAATAAAGGTATTAAAGTGAGAGCACATATGCATTGTCTTAATGGCTTTCTATTTTTTGAATACTGGATAGATTTAACATACTGTTTGAATTCCTCTTTAAGGGTTGAAAAGCGAGATTGCTGATTTGAGAATTTAGACTGTATATGATATTTGGGGAAAAAAAACAAAAAAAAACCTTTGGAATTTTAATTGATGACTCCCTCAACTTGAAACATTTTATTGATAAACTTGTGAAGAAAAATTAAAAGTTAAACTTGGCTTCTTCTTTCTTAATAAGACATGTTTTTCTTTTGGAGTAAAAAAAAAAAAGCGCCTTGTCTCTGCCACGTTTCTATCAGTCTTTGATTATGGTGACCTTTTTTTTTATAAAAATGCTACAGTACTTCTTCATATCTTCAAATGTTCAACTCCGTTTACCATGCTTCATTAAGGTTCATCACAAACTGTAGAGCCATGACACATCACTGTGACCTGTACTCTCAGGTGGGATGGCCTTCCTCTCTACCAGAAGGCAGTGTCATTGGTACATTTTTATTTCCAAGGTCCTTCTTGGATTACTGCACTCTTACATTTGTACCTTACACAAAAAAGCATGGCTTCTTATGCCCTGAGATCCTGAAAAAAAATGCAACAATTTTTTTGCATTTACTTAATTATATTTGGTTACTTTAACAGAATTGTTTCATGTTGGCAGGGTAGGACATTAAACAATTGTGTTGAAGTAACTACATATGATTAAGTAAATGCCAAAAAAGATTGCAGAGCTGTTGCTCACTGTACCTTTTGCCCACATAGAACTAGGGAAGAAAGCCTTTAGCTACACAGCTCCTTGTGGGTGGATTTTTTTTTTTTTTTTACAAAGAAACTGGAAGTTGACTGAGTTTTATCTTTAAACGCTTTTAACTTGAAAGTGAAAGAATTTGAAGCAGCCTCAATGATCTGTAATTGTTTTACTTGATATGTTATTTTTATGTACCTTTCATTTAATTTAATGTATCTCTGTTTATTATGAAACTTTGGTGCCTCTTGGCCAGGACTCCCTTGAAAAGAGTTTTTTAATCTCAATAGGATTTTTTTTTTACTGGTTAAATAAAGAAAATAAATAAATAAAAACTATTAGATTGTTTCATATAAAAAAATGTTTTGTTCTATTACCGGTAATTGGATAAGAGAAGTATGGAAGAGGATTAGGGCCAAAGTTAGGAAAAAAGTCAGAATTCTTCTGACTTTTTTCTCAAAATTCTGTCTTTAATCTCAGAATTCTGACCTTAATCTTAGAATTCTGACTCTAATCTCAGAATTCTGACCTTAATCTTAGAATTCTGACTCTAATCTCAGAAGTCTGACTTTAATCTCAGTATTCTGACTCTAATCTCAGAATTTTGACAGCTAACAAACATGTTAGCATCAAGCCGTGGCCATGTCTGTGAAGCTGAGTGCTACCACATCTCTTCCTTCATGGTGCCCATCTACATTACGATCCAAAATTCCAAGATTAAGTCAGAATTCTCAGATTAAGTCAGAATTCTGAGATTAATCTCAGAATCTCAGACTTGTTTCCCATTTATATGAATAATCGAAAAGTCATCCAGATTTTGCCAGAAAATACATAAGAAATTGCATGACCAGAATAAATGACAGTGATCTTCTTGATAGTGTTGGCAGAAGGAACAGTTCATGTCAATGTCTTTTTTATCCTTGAAGGAAAAACTTGCAGGGATAAAAACGATGGATTATCTTTAAAGAAACTTCTTTAATCTTCTTAATAATCAAATATTTAGACGGAAGACATGTGGTCGCTAATCTGCTAAATGGAGCCAGAAATGTGAAGTCACCTTTTAGGAAGTAAATCAAATTCTGCTAAAAAACATTAAATTAGATTAAAAAAAAAAACAAGAAAAAAAACAACATTATTTTATTATATTTAAAGTAAGAATATAAGTCTGTATGTATGTGCATATACACACACATACTAATTTATATGTCAGTTTGTATATTGATTGATAATATGCAGATTTGTGTATACCATTGAGGTATGTATAAATAACTTCCCTCTGACCTCATTGATAACCACACTCCTGTATGCTAGGAAGCAGTAAATGCACGTTAAGTTGGTTGCCATTCGCCAATAAAAAAAAAAAAAACATAAGAAGAAGATTTTTGATTTGATTTTTAACAAAACATTTATTTAACAATGATTCATCAAACAAACAGTTAAAAAACTCAGGTCATCAGGACATCATTATAAAAGCAGCTTGTTATATTTCAGCTCTCCTGACTCAGAAATGGTGCACAACACATTGTTAAAACCCCACAGTTGTATAAAACCCTTCNGAAGAAGAAGAAGAAGAAGAAGGGGCGGGGTTATATGAACTCGTTCCGGTATGGGCGGAGCTAATGGGGTAACTTTCATAACATACTCCAGGACGCTACGAACTAATACATAATTGGAACAATCAACGGACGTTTTCACCCTCTAAATAGGAGGCTAAGGTCAGACTTTAAATTCTCAGCCCCTGTTTAAGTATTTGAGTCACATATTTATCTAATTTTAACGGCTCTTTAGTTAAATCTGAAGGGAATTTTCGCTATTTAATTCTGGTGTTTTGACCCATAACTATTTTTCTGCTTAATACTTATTTTTTATAATGTTGAAACCTCATGATGAACAGATTAACCATTTCTTTCCCATTAATTTGGTAATACCATCGCATAATAAATGATAAGGAATCCTTCCTTTGACAGATGGCCTCAGCTGTGGCCAACAGAGCCATAGGAGCTATTGTTGGATCAGCTGTTGCAGATGCTGCAGGTAAAAGTTAACCTGCAATATTAAATTGCTTCACCATCCTTCTACATCCTAAGAAATTATTCAGTAGGAGTTTTTTTTTTTTTATAATATATTTTCTAATTGTAATTTGATTTACATACACTGCATCTCTATGTGATTTGAGATGCTGTAAATTTGACATGCATTTCCATCAGATCCAATTAGAAATTGTATATGATTTATTTTTCTTAGCCCAGCCGCTCCACTGGGTGTATGATCTCCAGAAACTAAAGGGGATCTTGGCTGAGGATCCACACCCGGAGTTCCGCTCTGAGTCTGCCAATCCGTTCTATAGGAGGAAGACGGGCCAGCAGAGCTGCTATGGAGACCAGGCTTATGTCCTGCTTGAGTCCCTTTCAGAATGTGGAGGTCTAATAGATTTTCCTTTTTTATCTTGGAAATAAGTTGCATTAACCACTCATTATAATGATTTGAAACACAATTAAATCCTCTTCATAGAGAGAAGTTAAAGATTAAGACGTATCCCTTTTTAATACACCTATGTGACATTTGTTGTTTTCTGTTTCTTTCCAGGACTTAATGTTGACGATCTGAAACAGCGCACACTGAAATTCTTCGGGCCAGGTTCGGAGTATGACACTCCCGTCAATGATCCTTACCGAGATCGTGGTGGTAAGAAATCTGTCCAATCAGTATGGATGAAGGGTTTTAACGAATTGTTGTTTTTGTTTTTTTATAAAGCTATTTCTGAATCTTCACAAATGTGATGTTGATTAATGTTGTCATTTGTTTATTTTTTTTCCAGGCCCAAGACCTCAGCTGCCTATTGAAGGACCATGGAGACATGCAAGCTTGAAGGGCTTCATAAAGAACATTGATGCCGGCAAAGAGGAGACAGGTAAACGATGTTTACTCGTTGGTAATTTGACCTTAACAAGCAGGATGAGTCTAAGCAGCAGGTTGTGTTTGTTGCAGGCTGTGAGACGGACTGTCAGATTGATGGCATCACCAAGCTGGCTCCTATCGTGGCTTTTTATGCAGGAAAACCTGACATGTTGGAAAAGGTTGAACAGGCAATCAGAGTCACCCAGAACAACGATGAATGCGTTACTGAAACTCTGGCAGCAGCAAGGTGAGTACATCTGGAAGTAACACTTGATTACATTACAACTGTGCATCTTCCATATTTCATAAAACTACAAACTTCAGTGTATTTTTATTTGATGTGACAAACACAAAGTTGATTATTATGGGGATTGAATAAGGGACATTTTATATGACTTTTGAACATATTTTCCAAATATAAACACCTTAATATAATGGATGAATAAACAGATTAGTGCAACCACCTGCCTCCAGAAGCTACCTAACAGATGTCCATCTGTGTATAATATTTACCGTCTAACAGTATAAGATTTTTTACAGAAGAAGAACTAAGGTGGAAAGAACTACAGTTAAAAGCAGGAATGTAAACAGCTTATCGAGCCTGTTGAGAGCAGTGATGATTATAAAGTCTGACAGCTGCTAGGAAGAAGGGTCTGCAGTCATGCTCCTTCGTACACCTACGGTGCAGCAGGCTGATTCATCATTCAGCCAAGAGGCCTCTGATAACTGAAAACTAGTGAGGGGAAAAATCTTTTGAGAGGACAACTTCAACAAATCCGGTCTTTCTTGAAGAGAGGCAAGAAGAAAGACCTGAGAAAATCGGTTTACACAAAAACCAGACAGGAAACAGCAATAATATAAACAGGGACTGTTAAAAAAAAGAAACTGTTAAGCCTAGATTGAAGTCATCCTGTTTAATTGAAAACACTGCATATCACCCTGAACATAACATCCCCTCATTGGAAAAAAACCCAGCAAGCTGGTCAGATGAGCTGGGAAGGTTTCATCCCTCATACAGACAGAACTACAAGGAAATGAGGCAGAGTGGTCCGGTCAACATCCAGACCTTCTTTTATCTGTTGTATTCCATCCAGGTTGACTGAACTTGAGCTATCTTGTAATGAAAATTTGTTAAAAAGTCTGGTCTAGAAGTGCAACGCTGGTAGAGATGGATCCCATTAGACCTGCTGTTGTAATCAGAATCAGAATCAGGTTTATTGCCATTGTTAGTGAAGGAGTTCACAAACTAGGATTTTTTTATGGTACAATCGTGCAACATGAAACATATAATATGGAATAGGTAAATAAAATTATAAAAAATATCTAAAACACTGTGGGTATAAGGCATGCAATAAAATAGACTAATATATACACTTAAGATAAAAATATGGATATAAAATATAGAAATGCGTGCAAAAGGTAGTTCTGCATTGTAGACTCCTTCAGGGGGATAAATACACATGCACACAACACTTCTATTCATTTGCTTGATGAAAATAATATTAAAAAAATCTAATCTGACTATTATTTTCATTAGGCCTGAGTCTACTCCCCCTAAAATCCTCCTTTAGTTTATACTAATATGACCATATGAAAATGTCTGAGCATCATGAAATCTTTTGCTAAGATAACAAACCACATTTTTGCCTTAGGATTCTGGAGCATTTCATCCTGACCGGTCCGGATCCTAAAGCTTTAGATGTGGTGCTAAATCAACTCAATGACCCCAACAGAAAGCAGCCCCAGGACTTGGACAAAGCAGTGATCAGTAAGCCAGATCTGCTGTATTGTTGCTTCCTTCCTCAAGTCATGAGACTGAATCATGGGGTCAAAGCCAAGATGCTTCCTCATACTAAGTAGAGATTATGAAGTATCTGTATCAATGTTACACCTCCTAATTTAAAGATAAAAAGCTTTTTTTTAAACACTCTTATTGATTAGTAATAATCGAAAACAAGCTCTTTTTTAAAATTCCTCCCAATCTGCTGCTTTCAGGTCACATTCATAAAGTGAAGGAGACTCTATCAAAGTCTCCACAGGAGCTGATCCCCACTGTTTTCCCCAACACCTGAGGTATATTTAACCAAGTTCCACTAAAGCAAAAGCTAAACTTGATTATCATCCAACCTGAATATGATCCGATGGTTAATAGGGTGTGTTGCTTGTTCCAGGTTTGCCAGGTGCATTCCAGGCAGCGTTGCATGGAGTTCTGACAGCCAAACAGTTTGAGACGGCCATCAGAGACACCATGAGCTGTGGGGGGTGCACCTGCAGCAGAGCCTCCTTTATTGGAGCATGCGTTGGAGCCCAGGTGGGACTATCACTTAATTTAACATGCATTTTCTCACACTCACATTTATGTCTGATCATGTTTATTTATTTATTTATTTATTTTTTCCAGATTGGGCTTGAAGGAATCCCGGTATCTTGGATGAGCAAAACCTCACGATGCAACTCTGTGGTGGCGTACGCCAAGAATATTACCAAACACCTGTAATGCTGTAGTTCACAGTCTGAGGTGGCCGAGAGCATCATGATAAACTGTTTGGCTCTGGCAGAGCTGTTAGTGAAGGCTTCTGTCTAAACTTAGGTGCGGCAGGAGCCTGAAGGTTCTGTCTCTGGTAGAGTTTAACAGGTTGGTTCAGATGTTCTGGAAATATAGGTTCTCTTTTTGTTTGTTTGTTTTTTTCATAAGTAATTTGAAAATGAATTGAAGTCTCGATCAGAAGCAGTATGTATTTTCACCAAGGACAACTTTAATGTAGACTAAAATTCTGTTTCTTTAAGCCTTGATTTAGGCACATGGAGCCACATCGATCAAATAAAGCCATCTTTCTTTACTAAACAAATAAAACACTTGAAGGGGCCAATCAATTAACATCCATCAGCTTCCTGTTTTTATCAAATGTGTAATTTTGATATGTTTACCTTCCAAAACATTATTAGTCTAACTGTGGATCAACAGGAAAAATGTATACTCTGCACTTATACAGTATGAACATATGTACACCTACCTTGATCGATAGAAAGCTCTTTGATGGTCTTAATTGTTGAAGTGGGTTTCAGTCCTCTTTTAAGGGAAGTTTCAAAATAAACATTTGATAATCAGGTTCTTTGCTAATAAAGTCAACCATGCTTTTAAAATCTCAAATCTCTCTCTCTCTCTCTGCCTTCTATTGAAATTATTTTTATATTTCCCCAATGAGAAACTCTAGGGTTTAATTTTCTTGTACCCAAAAGACAAGCAAGGTAAACTATTTTTATAGCTCTATAAGATATAAAACAAAAATAATACTTAGGTAATTAAGGTCAACAAAACAATTTTTGATTAATCAAAGATGCATTTGTTTAACTTAACCATTAAAGCAATTTGCATAAAGCTAGATGCTATAAAGAAGCCTGTTATTCTAACATAAACATTATTTTAAAATTCAGTATGACGCATTATTTATGGGGACTCTTTTAAAAAAAGTGTCAACGAATGGATAATGCAAAAAAATATATATAGATTGGGTAATGATTACATTATTAAAGACACATAAAAAAGTAATGGAAAATGACAGTTTAAAGCATAAATACATATATCATCCATTAAGGAGACTGAGGAGCAATGGAATAATTATAGTGTTTATTATCAAAATCTGACAGATGCTGCATTGTCTATTTACCTGTAAAAAAAAAAAACACAGTGAACCAACACCAGGAGATGAGCATTCATCACTGACTGATTGAAGCTTTGGACACCCGGCTTGGATGCTTTGCTTCTCCATTCCTTCTCCAAACTCCAGGACCGCAATTAACATTATGCAAAGTTTAGTTTAACTTATAAGGAAAAAGAAATCCAGACCGAGCATCGGTCAACTCCAATTTCTATCTAATTAAATAGTTCTACATAAGAAATTTCTGACCTTATATATGAAGCAGCGAAGGTTGAATGCCAGGACTGCTATAGACCTTGTCTAGTTTGTGATGTAAAGCCTGTTACAATCAGCATATTCTAAGTTTCTAAGTTTCCTATATGTCCCGAATGCAGACTTGTATTTTTACAGTTAATTCAATCTATTCCTACTGGTGTTAATTTGTTTAAAACTAATTTCTACGGAAGAGGATTAGGGGCACTGAAAAAAT